GCTCCTCTCCCTTGGCTCAAGCATGTATTCGCCTCCAGGGTATATCTCAATTTGCAGAAGTCCTTTTGCTTCTGACCAGGCACATGAGGGAGGGGACAGTGCCAGGCCACTACTGTTAACACAGTAGCCCTACTATTAGCACCTGGGCCAGAAGCCAGATCACAGTCGTGACACTCCCCAGCTGTTCCCCCCTTTTTTTCCCTGTGAGGAATGAAGTGTGGGTCTGTGGGTCAGCATTTGTCTCACATTTAGGGAGCTCAGTTTAATTCCCCAGCACACACACACACACACACACACACACACACACTGCCGAGAAGAGATTGGGGACAGGGCACTCTTCACACCTCCCGTGGATGCTGCTTGTGTTGATTTCAGAGCATCTGGATTTTTAGACATTCTCCCACTGGAGAGAAGAAAGAAGCCCATCTCCCACCTGCTGCATGAGCACAGCCTGGCTAAGGAATAGACAGGTGGAAAGTGTCCTTCGGGGACTGGGTCCTAAAAGGCACAGCGATTTCCTATCTGTCCTCTGACTCCACCTTGCTCCCTCATCCTTACCCCTTCTCCTTACCACGAGCAGAGCAAGCCAACAAGCAACAGACTAAGACTCCAGCCATCTCTGGGCACTTGGGCAACATAATTCAGGTCTGAGACCCACCAGCTCTTTCAACTGGGCCTAAAGGTGAAGCTCACCAAGGGGGAACTCAGAGGGCTGGGGAGAGGTGTATGATGCCATCTGGATTGCAGCCCGAAGAAGGGCGCAGAGTCCATGCAGTGGTCCAGTCCAAGGTCTCTGTGTTTCTGGGTGCCGGTGCTGGTCTAGGACATCAGGGCAGTACTGAGGCAGGTCTGGTTGGATTGGAGGAGGCCCAGTCTGGGAGACCCACTGAGGGCACATACTCAGCCCCCCACTTCCTCACCCTGAAGTATTCGGCTGGTTCCTGACTGCTAGCTTTCTCTGGTGCCCATCTCAGGGCAACTGCCACTCCCCTTCCCTAGGCTTCTGTGGCTCTCAGCATTTCCTGACTAGGGGAAGAGTCATTTGTGGACAGAGATATGATGAGTCACTTCTGGGCTTCCCCAATATGCTGGCACAGAGGGAAGTCACTGACAGACACCAGCTGAATCAAAACTGTAACTCAGAGAGAGGACCATAGATAAACAAGTCACCAGCACAGCTGGAGTGAGGTATGGCCTCTGAGGTCCCTCTATCTTGTTCCCAGAGCTGTCTCTTTTCTGGCATCCCCACCTACTCAGGGGGAGTGCCATGGTCAGGCTGTCCAGGCTCATTTGGGTGTCCTCCTTTGGTGACACCCGCTGCTTGCCTAGTCTCATTAACTGTGCAGGCCCAGTCCCTAAAACCCAGCAGTGCACAGCCCCACCTTCTGGGCTAAGTTCTGTGCATAATCTGGAAGCCACCTTAGAGCTGTATCCCAGAGTTCCACACATACTGAGCCTAATGGGGTCTGAGTGTTGCCTTAACTGTCCTGGGTTCCACGGGGGAGGGAGGGAGGGGCCGAGACTGTGTGAGGGCTGACTGGACAGAAAGTTAGGGTAGAGGAGACAGGTGGATGGGGAATGGCTATTTTGAAGGTAGAGTTGACACTAGACAGATGAGGTAACTATGAGATTAGCTATGTAGCTATGGTAATAAAAATGTCTATGATGGCAGCAGGCTGGCATTAATGAAGATGGTAGTGGGAAAGGTGACTATGTGGCGAGGATGACCTAGACAATTATGACATTGTAAAGGCACCATTAGTGGTGATGAAAGTAATAGGGGACAATGATGGTAATGGTGATAATTGGGAACGTGTTGTTGAGGGAGTTGAGGATGATGGTCCTGACAGTGACAACAGTGGTGGCAGTGCTGAGGAAGATGGCAGCAGGGATGATGGTGGCTGTAAGGGTCCGGGTGGTAACTGAAGATAGTGGACATGGAGATAACAAGTTTGGTGATGGTGGCAATGCTGATGATAATGGCGGTGAAGCTGGTGATAATTACAGTGGTGGTAATGGTGACAGTGTTGATGTGATGATGGCAGATGTCATAATCAGTGATAGTGGTGATGCTACTGATGGTGACGGTGATGGCAATGGTCATGGTGGTAACCAGGGTGTTGGTGATGAGGATGGTGGTGGAGGAAGATGGTCATGGTGGTAACCAGGGTGTTGGTGATGAGGATGGTGGTGGAGGAAGATGGTCATGGTGGTAACCAGGGTGTTGGTGATGAGGATGGTGGTGGAGGAAGATGGTCATGGTGGTAATCAGGGTGTTGGTGATGAGGATGGTGGTGGAGGAAGATGGTCATGGTGGTAATCAGGGTGTTGGTGATGAGGATGGTGGTGGAAGTAGATGATCACGGTGGTAATCAGGGTGTCAGTGGTAATGGTGATGTCGAAGGTAGTAGTGGTGATGATATTGACAATGGTCATGGTGATAGTCATGGGGATAATGACAGCGATAGAATGTAAATGTCACAGGTGATGGTTTTGGCATGGTACAGATGGGGTGGGGTTAGCATCAATATCAGTTTGTCTATGGTGACATTTTATTTCGTAATAACATGTTTAATGGGCACGAATTGCCCGTGAGGGTGGATAGTCTCTGGCCCAGGCGTCCCCAGTAGAGTGGGGCATTTCCCAGGACCATCTCAGTTGTCTGCTTCTCCTAGCTCCGGTGCCATGTATGAGCTGGCAGGAGAAACTGGTTTGGGTGTGGTCAGAGTTGTCTCTGATGGGGGCTATGGTATGGCCTGGTCTCTCCACTTCTGCCCAAGGTGGAGGGCCTATGTGTCCCTGGCTGCTGCAGTCTTCCTTCTCAGGCTCTGCCTGTCCCAAGTGTCCTCAGACTTCACCTGAACAGATGATGGGTGACTGAGTGCTATAGCTTAGCACTCCCACTGCCCAGTGAGGAGGTGAGGCCAGAAAAGGAGCTGTAACAGGCCCAGCCCAAAGTTGAGACCCTGCCGTGGGGTGGCAGTAAGCCCTCCTGTGTGATAGATGTTCCCTGGCTGAGTGTCAATTCCTGGGGCCTGGGGCCGGTTCTGGCCACACTCCCCACCCCCATGGTCCTCTTCTCTTTAGGCATTCTGGCCTGGCAGAAATGTGGAGGGCCCTGCAGGGAGCCCACCCACACAAATTTCTTTTTTTTTTCTCCCAGTCCGTGAAAGTTGACAAGGAGGCTGGGAGGGAAGGAGGAAGAGGAGGAAGGTAGGAGAGAAACCTAAGGAGGGACTGGTTAACTTGGGAAGCAGCTTGGGCTTCCATGCCGTTGTGCTGTGAGAATGAGCCACGCCAGGCTCCTGCAGCGTGGGACTCTGCTCCCCCTCCCGTTTTATTAATAAACCAGGGCAACAGTGTCACTTGGCTCTCCTCGTAAACGTGTCACTCCACTGACTAATTCTTTTTAATTAGAAACAAGGAGACAAAAAGGCTTCATCCTTGGAGGCTTGACAATGTGGATTTCATGAGGCTGAGCTGCTGTGCCCACCCACTGTCCTGGCATCCCTGCTTCCACACCATCCTGGAAGTTGGGCCCAGCCAAGAGACTAGGACAACACTAGGTCAGGTCAGGTGGCCTTGCATATTCTGATGGCCACAGAGGTCACTGTGCTACAGCTTCTGAGGGATGCAGGGAGCTACAGTGACATCTACACCCACTCAGGAGGACGACACAGGGCTACCCGTACTTGCTGAACATGCCCTCTGGCACTGAGATCCTAAGTTCTGTAACAGCTGAGGTGACACAAGGAAGAGGGTGCTTCGTGTGCCCGTCCTCCCTTCCCTTCTTGGCACCCACTGCCACGGTGGCCAATCACCACAGGGCTACAGGCTTTTATTGGTCACTGCGCTACATCACAGGTGAGGACTGAAGCCGGACAGAAGAACACAGAATGGTACTTGAGAAAAGCCTCAAAATCCATCAGGCCCTGAGCTCAGATGTTCTTAGCAAGAGGACACCTTTAGTTCCTGGAATGTCTTCTCAGGTCATCAACAAAATTGCATCAGTAGCCATGTGCCTTTAAGGGTGAGGTTGGAGGCCTTTCAAAACTACTGTTTCGAACAGCGTAGAACTGTTCTCTGCCCAGCTCTGGGGGTGGAGCAGGGTTTTATCTAACTTAATGCCAACTGATGTCCTCCAGAGATGGGGACAGGGTTTCCTTCTGACTACTGGACTAGCTGAGACCATCTGGGATCTTGCACCCCACTGATGCCCTCTCTGTGTTTGGAGGGAGGAGATGGGCCCTTTTGGACAGAGAGCCCAGCTTGCCTCACTTTCCAAGGTGTCATGTGCCAGGATTGAGATTCCATCTTTCTCACCAACCAGGGAGTCAGAATAAAGTCTCCCCAAGGACACAAGCAAAAACACGCACTTCACTCTGACTCTGAAATGCTGACAGTGGGGAAGCCTCTGGGAATGGAGGGTCATGACGCAAAAGGGGTGGTGGGTGACAGTGGCAATGCAGACACCGGCAGTGGGAGCGATGGTCGGTGACAGTGATGGTATTGTTGGGGTTGGCGGTATGGAGGTCAAGGTGCTGGTGGAACCTGAGATGTCAGTGTGGGGGTCACAGTGGGGTCCTGCTGGTGGTCATGGGCTGATGGAGTAGTGCTCGGAGATATGGTACTGGTGGGGACAATGATGGTGAGGAAGTGACTGGGATGTGGTGGCAATTGTGTCCACACCGTCAACGAAGGTCACAGCTGAGAAGTTGTTGTGATGGCCATCTGACCCCTGCAGTATCTAACCGCTTTCTAGAAAGTCCACACAACAGTGGGCTCCTCCTTCAGCTAGGTAGGGTGGCCTACTTCTCAACCGGCCAGTTTGGGGCAGACCCCAAGGCCGACTTCCCTGTGAGTCCAAGGATCAAGTACCATGCCTGGTGCCTGTGATACCTACTAGTAGTAGAGACACACTTGCCTGGCTAGGAAATCACAGGAAGTGGAGAGACACACTGGGCTTCCAGATGTCTGCAGCTGCACAGGTCATCCACCAGGAGCTGGCTGTCACGGCCCACCTGTTTCAAAGCCCAGGACAGAGGCTTGAGAACTCAGTTCAGTGGGCTTGTAGCAGCAGATGAGCCATCCCAGTCAGGAGGAAGCAGAAGAGGATAGGGGTCCAGGTCCAGCACTCCTGAGAAGAAAAATGGAGAAGTCACCAGCCAGAAGAGGTTAACCATAATTGGAGGCCAGGAGGGGACATAGCACTGGCTTCCCTTGCCGTTTTCTGTGTGCCACCCCCAAACTCCTCCTCCAGGAAGTCCTTCTGGTTCTTGAAAATCTCTATTGATTTGGACTCCTCCAGAGCACTGTGCTCTGCCCCTGTTGGTACCTCTTCTTCCCTATGTGACAGAATGAGACGTGTCAGGCATATGTAACTCCAGGCTTCCTCAGAGGTTCTCATCTTGGCATCACGCCATGCTCAGACCAGACCTTAGACCCTTCAGCCTGTACTCACGGCCAGGGCCGCCTGCTTTTCCTGGGACCCGGAACGCTAGGGTACGGGTAAACAGAGACCTGATACAAGGTCTAGGTTTGTTAGAGTCACAAAGTCGCCAGCGGCAGGGGCAATGTGACCAGTGTCTGGCCCCTTTGCCAGGTCCCTGCCTCTTTCCCAAGGCAGGGGTAGAGCAGGAGCAGGGCAAGGCGGGCCCTGGGTGGCAGCAGGCTCAGTGTGCAGAGCCTTCCTGCGTGGGGAAGCTCCTCGCTGCGTCACGGCTCAGCTATTCTCAGCCTCTCTCCTTTTATGGTACCGGAAGGGAAGCAGGCGGATGCTGCTGGGCTGGCTCTGGGGAGGCATTTAAATGAAATTGCAGAGAACAGCAGGAAAACACAGCCGTCAGGGTGGGGGTGGCAGCCTTGGACGCCACCCTCTAACTGGCATGGGCTTCTGAACTCTCAGCTCTGGGGGTGTCTGCATGGGGCAGCTGGCAGCACCCCCCAGCCTGATGGAGAGCTGCTCTTGCATGATCCAGCCCAGTGGGCACACAAAGAGGCAGTGGGTGGGCACTCAGCCTGGCTAGGGCCCCAGTAGAGCAGAGATTGAGGGCGGTTGCCAGACTCCCACCTCGGCCCAGCCTCCCCTGGCTCTGGCTGATTCCTGGACCATAAGTCTGCCCCTGTTCCCCAGCTCAACACTGGCTACCTGGATTTGGGGAACCCTGGTAGTCTTTATTCCTGCCCCACTTGGCAGCTATAGTTCCTAGATCTCTCTACAGCAGGGACAGCTCACACAAGAACACCAACCCCAAATCATTTCCCCACATCTGGCCCCTTTCCACCCTCTCCCTCCTTGTCCTCCCTAGGTTGTAAAGGTTCTGGCCACCTTAACCCTTGGCTCAAGGCTGGTATCCCGGCCAGCATGAGGGAGACCTGACTTGCCCTGATACCTGGTCTCTGCTACCCTCCACATTCTACCCCCATTAGACGAACCTACTTGGCTGTGTTGCTGCCCTTGACCCAAAGTACTGCCCTAGTCACCTGGCAGTCCCTCCTTATCTCTGGCTGTTGGCCTCTGCATACTTGCCCCCCCCCCCCCCGCCACACACACTGTGCCAGCACCTTTGCCCAGGCAGAACCCAGAGCTACCCAGTGCTGGCTGGCAGCAGCTATGCAAGGAAAAACAAAAGGGTGCTGTGACTCTGACAGATATGGTGGCTTGCAAAGCACACTCCCAGATCTGCGTGGACACCAAGATTGGCCACTCATGCCTAGAGGCTTTATGGGGATGCACACAGGCACAGGGCTCAGCATCTACCGGGCCTAGAGACCCCTTTCCTAGAGGCACAGGGCACCAAGTCTTTCTCATGTTAACATTGAGGTTGGCTTCTGTCAACTGAATAAGTAAGCAGCCAGCTGGGTGGAATGAGGAGCCTCATAACCACAGGTCACCCTTCACCTTGAAGAGGAGCCCTAGTGGCTGCTTAGTACAGTCTGCCTGTTGTGTGGTTGAGACCAAGGAGCCGAATGAGTGGCATGGAGTCACACGTGGCCTCAGGGAGTGGCAAGAGGAGCCTTCCTGTCCACGGCTCTCAGGCCAGGCTCAGGCAGGCTGTCCAACAAAGACCCAAAGGGCTTCCGTACATCTATGCTATGTCTCTTCTTTCTACCCTAAACTTTCCTCCTGGCATGGGAGTCTCAAGATCTATACCCACAATGCACACGTGGCCTCTCCTACCTTGTTCTAGATTGTCCTAGCTTGAGTGATGACCATTAGAGGGGCCAACCTGCCCCCTGCACTAAGAGTCCCCAGGAAGGAAGTGCTGGGTGCTCTTTGCCACGTTATGAGGTTCTGAGTAAGGCAAGTTGCAGAGGGCTGTAGCCAAGCTTGAAGCACAGTGGAGGACCACCAGTGGGGAAACTGAGGCAAGGGAAGGGGTGGGGCCTTAGGGAGCCTTACCCATGTTCACATAGCACAAGAAAGTGTTCTACATAATGACTCTAGGAGCCTAGAGGTCTCCCTCAGACCTTTATCCCAATTCCTATCCTGCTTCTGGTCTGGGCAGGTTTCTGTCTCTCTCTGGACCCCAGCTGGGTTAAGTGAGGAACACAGGTCTCTTGAGGACAGACTCCCACAAACCTGTGTTCTTGTCCACTGCCAGGCGGTCAGTGGGAAATGCCTGGGGCACATGGAGCATCGAGGTTGTACAGATTCCATGGAAAAATACCAGGCTTCCTTAGCCGCTGGACTGGAGGTGCTGAGGCAGGAGGCAGGAGGCAGGAGGCAGGAAAGGAGGAGGGAGGAGAGAAGAGGGAGGAGGGTCTGATGTGTGGGGGCTCTGAACGAACAGGCTGCCTTGCCTGTTCCAGGGACAAGGATGTAGCACACAGCCTGCCAGACGGAAGAGGAAGGAAGGAAGGGGGGGGGGGGGAGGCAGGGAGAACGTGTTCCCGTGGCTCAGGAAGAAAGGCTGCCGGCAAGGGAGGGGAACTCAGCCCTGAGGAGAGCACCTCAAACTCTCATGGTTCCACAGGCCCAGCTCCAGTCCTGCCCCCATGCCCTAGCCTGCCTCTGTTATTGGCTAGCTTGGTGGTCTGAGGCAGGTCTCCCACCAAACAGGGCCTTTGTGGAAACCTCTGTGAGAAACAGCAGCCCTGGCTTCGAGTCTCCATTTTTTTTTTTTTTTTTTTTTTTTGCTTCCCTGTCATCTCCCTCAGGCTTGTCCCCGCCTTGATGGTCTCCTTCAGTCTCGTCCTGAACCGCTGTGTATCCCTGTGCCCTGGGGGAGACTGGCACTCTCAACCCTCAGCTCCTGAAACCATCATTGCCCAGCCCTGCTGTGTCCAGAGACTGGCAGTGGGGGTGACCGGAAGTCATTCAGCCAGCAGAAGGCTAGTGGGAGGGCCAGGTGTCCTCCCTCCCGCGGGTGGCTCATTCACATGTCAGCTCAGCCTGAGCTTAGGAGGCCTTAAGAGTCAGTAGGCAGTGGTTTTATGAAGGACTCGAGGTGGGGCCCTCCTACCTTCCTCTCCTGCCCACGCCGACACACAGGAAGGACTCCAGCAGCCTTCAGCTTGGTGGGGCTTTGTTCTCCCACTGCCACAGAGGGAAAAGTGAGGCCAGGTGACTAGAACCGGTTGTGGAGCTGCTCATCCTTTCTCTTCTTCAGACCCACGCCAAATGATTGCTCTGGGTCCCTGGTTTCAACTCAGAGTACAGACCTGGAGTTAGCCAGGGTACCAGGAGGCTGTCCAGAGATTTGATAAAGACCCCTGGGCCAGGGGCTGGGCGGAGGTTCTGCAGATCAGCCAATAAAGAGACAAAAGCCTATACCCCTTCTCCTGTGCCCACACAGATGTGGGGTCTGTGAGTAAATGAGAGCAGAAGCGCACCAGGTCCCTGCTGCCGTGCCCACCTCTGCTGCTCTGGCTTCTGGCTTCATGAGGAATGGGGTCCCACAACCCATATCACAAGGGGAGGGATGATCAGGGTGTTTGTGTGTGTATATGCTTGTTCATGGGTACAGACACACACCTGTGTGTTCACAGTATACCTCTGTGTGTAGGTACGGGGGGGGCACGAGATCTGTCCTTGAATGAGCTGCCCTCCCGCTTATTACTACTGGATGCTAACTGTTCAGCCTTGGGGGCAGGGGGATCTGCTGGGAAGACCCTCTAGCCAGGCAGGGACAGTTGTGCCTCACAGCAGCCATGAAGAGTCTTCAAGCTATCCTATAGGAACAGGGAGGAAACTTGAGGGACCCTAAAGCCCTCATGCCTCTGGGAGTCTAGGTGGTGGGGACCCTGACGTATGTGATTCCTGCCAGGAAGCTTGTACTCACAGGAAATCTCAGGTGGGGAAGAGAAGCAGGAGAGCAGGAGGCTCCAGAGACAGGGGCAGGAGAGGAGGCTGAGGGACACCAAGGGCTCAGAGCTCTCTGACTGACATATTGGGAGGGGGCCTCATCTTGAAAAAGGCAACTTAGTGTCATAGTATCCCGAAGTAAAGGCTGTGAGGTCAGAGCCCAGGGTGTCTGGAGTCCTGGGAGCAAATAGCAGGACCGATGGGGCTACCTGGTCACTTGGATGATCTTAACACTCTAAGGAATCACTGAGGTCACCCAGGCCTGCCCCATCCCTGAGGACATCTGCTTTTCAGCAGGCCATTTAGAATCTGAGGTAGCTTGGCTCTGATTCCCCCAAGTTCTTTCTCTGCATAGGCCCACCCCCACCCTCCCTAGAGCCTTCCCCAACCTTCAACCAATGGGGCTGAGGATGGCACTATTAGCTCTCTCGTGGGGCAGGATTGGAGCATGCGTGGGGGGGGGTGCTGGAGGAGTGTGGGTTAAAGTCCCCCTCCCTGGAGGCAGGGAGCTGGCCTGGCCTCTTTTCCAGTGGCAGAATGTAGCCCCAGGCTGCAGTGCGGGGGTTTGCTGAGGACTTCTGGGGCGGTAATTGGGCAGCGATTAACTGTTCCCAGAGCAGCAGTGGCTGTTGGCTGCGCCTGTCACCTGTCACTGGGCTCCTGTGTTCACAGTTTCTGAAGACCCTGAAGGAGAAGGCAGGGTTCCATGTGACCAGTCACAGTGGGGCTCAGAGCAGAGTGTCTCAGGAACGGTGGCCCAAATGGACGGTTCTCTATGGGTGGCCAGAGGGCCGTAGCAGCTCAGCATTGGGAACTTCTCCACTATTTGG